ATTTTATCAACAACAAGCTATTTTTGGCTGTCAATTTTTGGTTTGCATTAGCAGAGTACTATATATATTAAACTAATTTTAAATGTCTCAATTTAGAAACCTTCATTGCTACTCTCCATTTTTTTGTATTACAAAAATACAATAATCCAATAAAATATGCTATATTTTTAAGTGAATCGATACCCCACTTGTTGAATATTTGCCTGGCCATTTCTGACCCTAATATTGATACTTATTAGAATATAAATATAATAAAAATACTTGTATATATTTCAAGTTTATTAATAATAAAATATATCAGGTCAACTGGTGGAGGGATTTTAAGAGATTCTTGATTTCTTGTAATAATGATTTGAAAAATGCTACTGCTGCTTTGAGGATCAACATTGATAATGCAAAAAAATCTAAAAAAATATCTATAAAAATTTTGTAAATTAAAATTTTTGCAATTTTTTTGTAACTATATTAATTTAACAAAATTATAGGTCAGGGAAAATTTATTGACTCAAAAGTATCTTGAGGAGGTACATCAGTAAAAATGATATACCTTGACCCTCTCACTGATTACAATGAAAAAAAAAATAAAAGAAAAGTGCATATTTGAAAAAACAAACCCCTTGTCTTCCTATGTATCTGCAATCGATGCTACCTCCTGTTTTCTGATAATAAAAAAAAAAAATGAAATAGTAGTTCATGATAGAGCTTCTAACAAGGTGATATTAGCTATATATCGAAATTGTATTGGATCTGATGTACTTGAACTCATGAGAAACATAATTATTGACATATTTGTTTTGCACCAACAAGTTGCCCGATTATCAAAAATCAAAGAATTGGATCAAGGTGCCTTAACAGCTGTAGGGTATATATTTAACTGAACTTAAGTTTTTAATTTTTAAAATTTTATTAATGTTAATGTTTGCACGTATTTTTCCACAAGAGAAAATGGAATATATACCCATATACATAACATACCTGTTAAATTACGAGAGGCCGAAAGGCAATATTTGCAAGAAGAGAAAGTTGTAGTAATGAACAGTTTTCTTTTCAACTATGCCATACATATATTTCCTGAAAATGTGACCACAAGTATACAAAAAAAAATAGAAGAATATGATCTGCCCTAACTAGTGACAACAAATATGGTGCTACCGATAAAGGAATTACAGTTTCTTTCAATAATAAAAAAATATATTTAAACCATCTTTTAGATTTATGTGAGGCCTATATAGCCTGGAGATATAGCAAGTTTGTCTACACCGATCTTAATTTTTTGGACCATGCAATTGCAGCTACTTGTCTAAGAGGAATACAATCTTTTAATGATAAAGAATTTGCTTATAGTGAAGGTGATTTTGATGAAGATAACTTTTATATAGCTAAATAAAGAATTAAAGTTGAAATGACAGGTATGTTTTAAACATTTCAAATTTTTAAAATTTTATGTTATTAACTATTTAAAATATCACAATTTTTTCTAGGAAATATTCTTTATTGTTGACCAAACAATAAATTGCATGGTACTACAGTATTACCGATGGAAGGTATAACTTGAGGGTTGTTCCAAAATTTGGTCAAAAAAATAGTATCAGCTATAAAAAAATGGAAAGAAAGTAAAGAAAAAGCATATTGTATGGATTACAGACATAATCAATTATCGACTGATCAATAAGCACTTAAAACATCGATAATAAAAAATCAAGCTATTTTAGAGAGTACTGATTATAGAGGGGAGTATATTAATATAAAAGCAAGTGAATAACCATAGGTTGTATAAAGAAATTTATTTAAATTTAATAAAAAAATTTTTTTAAATTTAAAGTTAAAAAATATTACTGAAAGGAAATATACTAGTTAAAAAATTTTTTATTAAAATAAAGCCAGATTAATTTAAACATATTTAATTTAATTTAGTTAAATTAAAGCAGTTATAGTGGAATATGCTTTAAAACAGATTCAAAATGTATAAAATCAGTTTCAAGTTGTTTTTGCATTAAATTTGAATCAGATGCAATTTCAAATCAGATTCAGATCCGAATTCAGATTTGAATCAAATTTGGATTCAGATCAGATCAAATTAAATTAAATTTGGATTCAAATCAGATCAGATCAAACTGTTATAGTTTCGAATCAGATCGGATCAGTTTAAAACGAATCAGATCTATATCCAATTCGTATTAATAAAAATTGGATCAGATCAAATCTAGTTAAAATCTGATCTGATTCGATTCATTGTGATCACTACTAGTTAGGCTGTAAAACTAAAAAGCAGAGGAATATAAAACACTACCCTTCTCTAAGATTGAGAATATATTTTTCCAGATATTGTGTAATAATATTGCAATTAAGATAAATATCAGTAAAATTTTCTTTACTAGACATGGCTGCTGGAAGATATTAGAATTTACTTAACAAGACTGAAAAGTCACATAAAAACTGAGATCTACCATTAGTCATCTTCTTTTACATAAGTAGATATAAAATCAAGACTGAAAGAAAGGAAACATTAAGCAAAATATTAGATTTAAGTAGGCAATAAGTACTTCAGATGGTTACAAGAAAATAATCAAGAGTACAGATGGATAAATTTCCCAAATAGTTAGAAAGAAGAAGAATATCCCAGAAGGGTTAACTTCTAATAAGAAGAGGTTTCTAGTAGAGATTCTTTGAAGAACATGAAGCATTTTAATTTTCTTTTTTCTTTTTATTTTTATATAATGCATTTGCATATTTTTAGATATTTCCTTTTCCTTTTATTTTTTATTTTTTCTTTTATAGTTTTTCGAATTCAGTTTCTTGGAGAATAATAAGTAGTGACAAACTGCTAACAATGATAGATAAGTTAAGAGGGTATTAATCCAAAACTTAGTTCAAAGTGAAATATTGTTTTCAAGATTGCACTTAGAGACTAAAGCTCTTTGAAAATTGAAAGCTATTAATGAGTATATCAGTACAAGTATTTTAGTTTAGCCATGATGCAATTGTTTTATGTATCTCTATTGATTTTTATATTGATTAATAAACACACAGTACTGGCCTGACTACAGGTAAAAATAAGAAGAATAATAATAATAAAAATAATAAATTATTATAGTTCATAAACAAAAAAATAATTAATTAAGCTTTCAGGATTTCAATTATTAATCATTTCAATATCTTAAATATAATAATTCAAATATTAATTTAATTATGATATACTTTTAATTATTCTTTGATTAAATAAAAAGAAAAAAATATATCTTAAATAAAGTTTTAAAATTTTTTATAAAAAAAATCAAAAATAATAATAATTTTATCTACTATAAAAATTAAATAAAAAAAATAATAGTTATAATCTTCTTTTTATTATTAAAAAACAACAATTCTATTTTTAAAAAAATTTTTGAATATATTAAAGTAAAATAATAATATTATTAATAAATCAATTTTTATTTTAAAACTCTTTTTACTGATCCTTTGACCACATATAAAAAATATATTTGCAAGAAGTTTTTATACTTTTTTGCTAATAAAGTCTTAATACTTTTCTTAAAACAACTTGAAGTATAACTTCAAGAGTTGCCTCTACCCTTTCTCTTTTGTTTACAAATCTTTTCACTCAAAAACTTGACTTCTAATAATCAAGAAAGATCAAGTAATACATTTGATACTAACAACGCGAAAGTTCACAAAAGAAGAAAAACAAATTGTAAAGTACATGAAGATCTATCTAATCTTTGAAATGAAATATTATAGAGATTTTTTGCAGTAAAAAGACTTATTTTCTCTCTTTTTGACTATATTGATCCTCTTAAAGCTTTCATTTTCATAATTTTCTAAGGAATTTTCTTATCTCAATTTGACCCTGAATTTTGAATAGCACAAATCCTTATTAAAGGTAATTGGTTAATATGAAACATATTAGTTTTGGAATGTAAACAAGCTCCTATTAATTACATTCATATATTCTGATAATATCATTGATGATTAAAAAGAAGATTCCAAAAATGTTTGTCTCTAAAAGCTTAAGTCCTTTAATAAAAACTTCTATAATACTAAAAGATTAAGTAATAGGTAATGTGGATTGTAAACTCCCATCTTTTACTTAAGTTCCTCAAGTAGTGACAAAGTTTTAATGAAAAAAAGCTGTGATCTAAATGTTTTCCTTGAGATATCTCAATTCGATGCTTACTTAAATGAAAAATTAGTTGAATTGACTCATCTGATGCCATAGGTAATAAAAAAGAAGATTTCTTCTGAGATTCAAGTGAAGCAATAAGACTATCCCAATTAGGCTGATTCTTTTTGAGAAGAGGTTGTTTTTATTTTTGGATTTTTTTGATGAATCTTGAATTGTTTACTTTCTCCAATTATTTTTCCTTATTTCCTTTTTAATTTAACAATTCATTGTTTTTGGACAATCAATGGTGACAAACTATTGACAATGATTCTAATAGATAGAGGTTATTATTATCTATCAGTAGAGTGTAATATTGTTCCCAAAATCTGACTTAGAGTATTTATATATAAAGATGAGTTAGTCACTTTGTGAAAGTCTATAAATTATTGTAAATTTGCTTCAATTTTTTAATAAAGACAAGCTATCGTGATATGATTGCAGGTTAAAAGAAAAAACAAAATCAATTTTTATTGTAATCATAGTAACATTATTTTAAATGAATATTAATCATTCAATACTAATCTTATGAATATACTTATAGGATAAATGGTAACAATTATATGATTAATAAACCTTGTAAAAAAAAAAAATAAAGTAAAAATCTTTTGAATTATTTTTTCTCTTTTTTAGCATACTGTATTTCTGATGGAGTCATGTAAAATCCAATGTACTCAATAAAGCCACGATTGTGAATTATAATCTACTTCTTTATAATTAAAAAGTTTTTCATTATAAATAGTTACAGTATATACTATACATAACCACGTGGAAATAAACATAGATCACAAACGGTTAAAAATTTTAATGAAAATATTACACCTCACAGCAAAATCCAACCAAAATGCCAGATATAACCTCTTACCAATATATTCCAAAGTATGAGGTGGGTCAATTTGACGATTCACCGGAGGACAAGGATTATGAACAAGGCGATCAGTCAAATGTCGGGCAGAAATTTGAATTAGATATGAATGAAGGTGTGATATCTAGAAGTTCGACAGAAGACATTGAGTTTTATGAAGAAGAGGAAGAGGAGGAGGAGGATTATTTAGAGGATGAATTGAACGATAATGAAGAATGGGATAATGCTAGTGGAGGTAATTGTACTTGAAGACTGAGTTGATTTTGAGTAGCTTCTTGACACCTTATTATGATGTTATTTAGATTTTACCAAGCATTACAATCGCCTAAGACAACAATTGCAACCAAATTTATCCGGCGTTTCCATGATTGCGCATGTTGGTCAAAGGAATGCAGCGTCACCGGCCAGAGTGGGTGAATCGCAATCGTCGAACGTATCCACCAGCACTAGGAGAAAAGCATTAGACGCTAAATTGCAGGATCAAATGAAGACATTGAGCAAATATGCTAATCGAATCCATATTGGTATGCGATGGCTTAATTCAATTCTTCTTTATTATTTAATACTTATTCATCGATGCTCTCTAATACCGGTAGATGACATACCCACCGATGGAATATCGAATTCTGTGTCAAATGACATCCGGAAGAGTAGCAGGAAGGCACAGGGCGACAAGTAGGCTCCGTTTCTTTCTTCTTCAACTATAGTCAACGACGATTTCTTAGTAGATGTTCAAAATTTTATAGGAATAAATATAGTGATAAGTCTGATCGAGCAACCACGGAACAAGTATTGGATCCACGGACGAGGATTATTCTTTTCAAAATGATTAACCGTAATGTCATCTACGAAATAAATGGATGTATTAGCACCGGGAAAGAGGTAATCATCAGACTCTGATGGTGAAGATTCGTTTGAACCTTCTTTAAATAAACCCTCAAATATCCATAGGCAAACGTGTACCACGCAATCACAGAGGACGGGAGTCATAGAGCCATAAAGGTTTATAAAACTTCAATTCTCATATTTAAGGATCGAGATCGTTATGTTACAGGTGAATTCCGATTTAGGCATGGCTATTGTAAGCATAATCCACGTAAGATGGTAAAACTGTGGGCAGAGAAAGAGATGAGAAATTTGAAAAGACTATGGCAGGCAGGAATTCCTTGCCCTGAGCCTCTCTTGTTGAGATTACATGTGTTGGTGATGAGTTTTTTGGGGGACAGAAATGGATGGTATTTTTTTTATCAACAAAATTTTAAACTTCAATCATCACTTATTCCTATTTCTTAATATTACTATTTTTTGATGGAAATCTTTGTAGGGCATATCCTCGATTAAAAGATGCCGTAATTGATTCTGAAAAGTATCCAGAATTGTATTATCAGCTTATCAAGAACATGAGAACAATGTATCACACTTGTCGTCTGGTTCATGCTGATTTGAGCGAATATAATCTTTTGTAAGTTGTATACATATAACTATTACTTATTGGCGATCGCAACTTGGTGTGTGCTAAAGTTTGTTTACCTCCAGGTATAACGCGCGTACTTTATACATAATCGATGTATCACAATCAGTGGAGCACGACCACCCTCATGCTCTTGAATTTCTAAGGAAAGATTGCACAAACATTACCGAATATTTCAGGAAGAAAGGGGTGAGGGTGATGAATGTCAGAGAGCTGTTCGATTTCATTACAGACATTAATATTGGCATGGAAGATGATAAGATTGAGGCGGAATTGGATAAGGTTACCACAGTGTCACTTTCTCATTATTTCATGACATGTCGCTTACGATTATATATATATATATATATATATTAGATTCAGGAACGTTTGGTTTTTCAGTCACTAGCCGAATCGTTGACGGACGAACAATTACAAAAGGAACAGGTTGAAGAAGAAGTTTTTAAGCGATCTTATATCCCAAGGACATTAGATGAGGTAATTGATGCCGAGAAGGATGTGATGAGGATAGCCCAGGGAGAAGGTGAAGGTGTAAGTATTCTGATTTTGATCCTTGTGATTTTATGAATTGTCTAAGGATTTTTTCTTAAAAAAGTTCACATCATCATTAGCTGATTTATCGAAAACTCACAGGCTTGGCTGTCGAGGCTAAAAAAGTCGACGGGATGGAAGCCACACACATTCCCTCAATAATAGCCACCAATGAAATCAGCAAAAAGGGAACGGAGAATGAAAATAACTCGCAAGAGTCGGATGAAACTGAATCAGAGAATAGTCAGGATATGGAGGATTCCGATGACGAGGAAGGTGATTCGTCGTTCAGGAAGCCATTGCGGGGGAAAAAGAACGAAGATAAGGACTCAAAAAAGGTTTGCATTTTTAAAGAATGTGCCATCACGTGTTCTCCTTTTCTCAGGGTAACTTTATTTGCAGGCACGGAAGAAATTGGCTAAAGAAGAGGCAAAGGAAAAGAGAAAACACAAGATACCTAAAGCTGTGAAAAAAAGAAAAGTGAAGACTACATCTGGAAAAAAATCAAATAATAAATAAAATTGTTTGCAATTTCAAGTGTTTTAGTGTGCAACCATATTTTTCGTTTGAACTACCTCTCTCCGCTGTCGCGAGAGATGGATAAAAAAACTTTGAATTTATTGGGGTATTACGCAAATTTATGATATTATACACATGCGTTCTCTTATAAATAAGTATATGTACAGTTTCGATAATTTTATAAATATTTTGCACGAGCTATTGCTGCCCACATACGAGAGTAGAAAGTCCAAATATCAATCCCGCGATCCGGTCTACAAAACTTCGATCACACTGATTCCATTGATCGTGCTGACCGTCTCACCGTCTTTTACGCTCCTGCTAATTGTCGAGGAACTGGCACCGGCACTCTCATCAATTTTCACACCCCACACCCTATGAATTTTGTCGTATGCTCTGCGAGCATTTAATTCCTCGACACAGCGGTCCACCACCTCATCCCACTCTTTATCACTACCGGTAAATCCCAATCGTCTCGTGCTTTTCTTAGAGCCACCACTGCTACTGGGACCGCCGCTCTCACCGAAAATTCTATCGACCTCCTTGTTACCGCCAATGTCACCACGGTATCCACCGATATCCTTGATCACTTTCTTCAAATTTTTTGCACCCCAGGCATATATCTCGGAATAGTTTTTTCCCAAGCTACCCGCATACTCGCCGAATGGTACATTTCTTTCCGCATGATGTATATTGGTGATCTTGGTGGTGATGGACAGGAAACGTGGAAGATGTGGTGAGATGACCACTTCAATCTTCTTCTTCTTTCGTAACTCGTTTGAAACTAGATTCGTTTGGGTAAAGAGTGAGGGTTCGGGAATGACGCCGAGGCGGAAAAAGGAAAGAAAAAAAAAAGGAGGAACCTACCCCACTTCTGAGCCTCATTGGCAATTTTCCCCGCGCCGAAAAACAAGATATCTTTCTCCATTATCTCCACCCATCCCCCGACCTTACAAACCCTGACGGCCTCACTTATCGCCTTCTCCCATTCCTCGAGGGTAAAAGCGAAGATCATCAACCGAATCATCACAAAGTCAAAAGTGTTGTCGGTAAATGGGAGACCCTTGAGGACGTTTGCTTGAATGAACTCGACATTTTGTGGTTTCACGATAGTAGGAAAAGTTTTCACCGCATCGATGCCGACGAAATGGGCGAGGGGATAATCTACCGACGTTTCGAGGGTCCAATATCCGGGACCACATCTGTGACGAGTTGAGAAGTGGGCGAGAAATCGTGAGAAAGAAAAAGGGGTTTCACGAATTTTGCACGAAAAGGAAAGGTACTAACCCGACATCGAGCACCTTGGCGTTCTCTTGGCAAAGTATTTCATGCACGGGTGCCGAGAAGTTGTTTTCCCAAACATGCTTATATATGTAGAATTGATATTGCAACCTATCACACTGGCAAAGATGAAGATTAATTAATGCTAGAAAAGGGATCGATCATTGAGCAAGCAGGCATGTGGTGGGGGGGGGCCTACCTCGCGATCATCTATCGGGTAAAGGTGACCAAAGTTGTTTTTCGAGTATTTTCGATGGTTTATGTAATTGTAAATGTTGAAGTCGGTGGAGGGCAAGATTGGAGAAACTTGATTCTGTATCCTCTGTGTTTGTTGGGTGGAGTTTGAAACTGGAGAGTGTGAAGGATCATGATAGCTGGAATAAGCGTTTCTGGAAGTTTTGTGGTTGCATTTCTTTGAATGTTTTTTTCGAGAAGTTTCAAATTTCAAGTCGGGCAAAGACGCAAAACGCGATTTTTCTGATTCAGATAAAGGAGAACTAATTATCGAATCTATGCTGTACTCGTTGTCCACAGTGCTACACGACGATACGGAGACGGTCGAGGAACAAGCGGAACAGGAAGAGATCGAGTCATCTGAGGCCGAGACGTCGTCATATTGGCCTCGGATTAATTTCGATTGATGCTTTCCCATTTGAGAGTGAAAAAAAAAAAGAAATCCGTAGTTTGACTTATTATTAATTATATTATTCGTTTATTACTCCTTAAAGATTTCTATTATTCACACAAATGAGATAGCAAAAATTAAATTATTTTCAATTTGCGCGCATAAGATATAACCTTAGAAGCGAAAGGAGTGTACGGATGTGGACCGGGAAGAGTGGCAATGGTTTCTGTGAAATTTTAAAAAAAGAATGATTGGGATGCCATTTATATTGAAAAAAACCGATGAGCATTGGGGATTGGGTATGAAGCTTAAGCATATCGGTGCACAGTGCATTGAAGCACCAGTAGCAGGAACCACGGATTTTTCTTGGTCGATTTGTTGGTTTGCAAGGGATCGTACGATTAAAAATTAGTTTCTCAGTGAAGAAATGATGGCCCAAATATTTGTGAAACACAAGAAAAAGCACTTCATGATTGGAGACGCGGGAAATTAGAGTCACAATAATGAGACTAAAAATGGGTTATTTTATTGCAACGAGCTAACGTAGAACGTATTAGTAATTAAGCAAGGAGGGCTGGGTTAATGTGTAAATTTTATTCACGTCATTGATGTACTGTATCTAGGTCAGGGCGGCCAGGTCGGATAAAAATAAAGAAACGAAGAATTGTGCATTTGTAAATCTGTGTTGCATTCATTATCTTTACAAAGCATGTATTTTTATTGTTATCGCTATTGTCGGTCGACGTGTGACCAATGAAAGTGTGACGAGAGGTGAATGGCCACGTGAAATGTTTCGCGAGGAATGAGGTCCAGACTTGGAAGACATTAAAGATGGTTGGTTAGTAGTACCCTTTTTTAGAACCATCATATTTAACCGCAATAGGATTGGGCATTTTCAGATCCGGGGCGTCGTAATCGAAAACCCTTATGACCGGTACAAACGATTGCAACTTGAGATTTTGAAGCTCTTGGCCAACTTGTGTCGTGTGAAAGAAAAAGGAAGAGGGGAAGAAAGAAAACGATAGGAAATGAGGTAAACAAATGACGTCTTGAATCAAAGAAAAAAAAGAAACACGGGTTACCATATTCCTTCATTCCTTTGTCAAACGTTCGTATCACTCTGGTGGCTTGCGTGATGGTTACCTATTGTTGTGTGGTGTTAGGCAAGGAGGATGCATCGAACGAGAAAATTGAATTCTGTCATACTCACAACTCCGTAAATGACATATTGAGAGGCTATTATGGGGAAAATGAGAACTTGGAATTTTTCATTTGCGTTAACAAAAATTTCCACAAACAAACGAAAACCTACCAAAGAATAGCATAAAGTAAGATCCGGAACTGGCCGGGATAAAAGATCCAACTAGTGTTGCAATCCAATCAATCACGACCATTGTCCAAATCACGACAAAGTACTGCATCACCTTCGAATCTTCTTTCGGAATCTACAGTAATTTAGGCGGGTACAAATATAAATAAATCGACTTTTGTGGTCGTTCCGTCAATCACAAACAACGATAATCACCGCGCGGTAGGTAGAGTACACCGTTCCGAGGCCAATCAAAGTGAAGGTCAGGTGGAGGATCGCAAAGAAGGTGGAGTACAAAATAAACACTGGAATGATCATAAATGTGAGGTAGAATGTGTTTATTTTCAATAGCATTATAAATGTTAATCGGGTTCTGAACATCTCTAAATCGAGAAAGAAAAAAAATTTTTATCATTATTTCACGTTGAGGGATAAGAGGTAAATTCTTCAATTGATTGATTGACTTGATTACCTTGCATCGTTTTATCGGGACCAACTTTCTGATAAATCTTTTCGCCCAATTCTTTGTTCAACAACACCATCAAATATCCCAACCAACCGGCCAGAGCCATCATCACGACAATATTTGGAAGGTCGTTGGATAGGTAATGGGCGTCAAGCTGTCCGAATTGCCCACAATTCTTATTATATACATCAATTTGTGTTTTGGTTTCGACCAGTCGGATCTTGTTTGGATTAATCGAGGCGTGTTGAGTGCATCTCGTGTGATTTGTAATGCTACGACGGGAATGACAGCACAGAAGTAGGGAATTGACGGTGTGGTACTTACGATTCCATAAAAAGCACCAGAAGCATTCAAGAATACGACAGCTTTGGCCTGATCCGTGTGGTGATTGGTGATCTTTCGTTTTCAAAAAAAGACAATGGGAAAATGAATCATTTTCTCTCATTGAGACATGACGTGCATGGATTCATTGACGTTGGAGAAAAACATACCGCGTTAAGACCAAGCCAAAGTAGAAAAAACTGAAAGAAGATGAAAAGAAAAAACTCGTTCGATAACATGGAAAATGCAAATGAATCGAAGTTATTTTCAACGCAAGCCGGATCGGTTTGATTATAATGCTTTAGAAGACTCGTGATTTCATCATCTCTGGCAGCTAGTTTCATTTGAAAGAACTCGACGAGCACCAGCTGAATTACCAATGTTACCACAAAGAGTATTGTGGTCCTCGAGTAGGTAATTCTATTCAACTACGTAATTTTCACCCACGAGTATATAGATGTACAGCATGGTTGAGTGTAGGAAGGGAAAAGGATCGAAGGAATCGTCAACGTTGAAATTTTCATACCTTCTTGTTCATCCTCTTGTTGAATCTCGTCATCGCCGATGTAAACCGCGACATTTTTTCAAAGGTAAATATAAAGATATTAGGTTAATGGTGTTCGTTATAATAATTATTAATTATAAATGGTATTAGTATATAAATAGTGATGCGTTAATGTACTGTACAGTACACCGAATGGAAGAACATGAAATTGTTTTTTATCTGGAGGAGTCTTTTCATAAACACGAAATTAATCTCAATAGTACACAAGGAAAAAAAGGTGTGATTGAGATTTCGGGGGGGGGGGAGAAAGAGTGTAGACACGACTGCTACAAAGTGCAGTTGTTAAGCTGATTCTGTTTCCGATATGATTTAACATGATCTAGTAAATATCACTCGAATCATTGATTTATACCTGCTCTTGATCACCGATTTTTAACGTCTAATTGTAGTTAAAGAAATTCCTCAACTTTATTTTTCACATGATTATCCTATTAATTCAAAAGCGTGTATGCTGATGAACACCTTAAAAGTAAGATGTTTTAAACACATGTCCTGAAAATATCGACGATCCTCGGAATTCTAATTATTGTATATACCCCAAAAAAGGGACTCCCTTTTTTTCTTTCATTCTAATTCCGGGAATGTGAACACAAAAAAATTTTTCCGTGGATAATTACGGAATGAAAAAACGTGGAGTGAATTTTTTAAATGAAAATAACAAATAATGTCAATCTACTGTATGTGCACACGTACTATATTAATTATAGACTGTCAATCTTGCATGCTGCATATCAGATTGTGCATATATCGTATAGTAAATAGATTTTGAGAGAACGAAGAATGATCTAAAAATATCTTGCGTTCTATTGAGAATTAACGATCAACCGCTAATTCTTATTAATACCACGAAAAACAGCATTGAAACCCGCATTTTTTACTCTTTCTCTTTCATTCTGTGATAGTTGTTCATGATTTGGGTTGTAAAATCTCGATCCTTTTAATGTTTATTTTCCTTTGATCAAGATTAATTCTAAATCCATTTACCATCAAAATTCTTTTTTAATATCATTCGACAAAGAATATATGAGAGTGTATTGAACGAAATAATTTTTTTATGTTTCGTTTAGTATAGTTTGAATAATATCTATTAATAATAGATTGCTTTTAAAACAGTTGTAATAATACTAGGAAATTCCATAAATTATAGTCCATACTCATCATCAATGCTTGCTCAAGAATTACAACGATTAATGTTTAGTCGATATGCTGTAGTTAATTTATGTATCTTATTGTCGCTAAGCATTCCAACCATAATAATTTTGGGTTATATCAAATATTTAATATAATCGTTATCAGTATTGTTGCTATTTTGATTATTTAAACAACTTGGACGTTTACATGTTTATTTATTTTAATAGTAATAATAAGACTAACTAATAATAATAATAAGACAAATAATAATAATAATAATAATAATAATAAGACTAATAATAATTAATGACCCTAAAAACGTTAAAGGCTATTGAAATATTTGTAAGTAAAAAATATACTGTGTATACTGTAGTTTTATTAGGTTCGGTGATGAAAAATAATAAAGTAAAAACTGACGATCTAGCCTGCTCAATAAAGACAAAAATAGAATTTGTAATATGCACTGAATTAACCAATAACTGATATACAGAACATGGTTTCTACCCACACCGGACGAGCCCCCAAAAAATTTTTTCTCTTTTTAATCGATATGTAGTTTGGGCGTTTGGAAAGTACAGCTTAAAAGTTTAAACGTCAAGGACATTTGTATTAATACTGTACTGTATATCGCATTTATTATGTAATATGATCAGTCGAAGCTCTGGTTCAAGGATCGCGAACCGAGAACTTAATCACAAGTCTAGAATGCTTTTGCGGTTCACCAGAAATTTAAAATTTTTTTTTTTTCTCCAAGTGCAAGACTGAATTGCGAAATATGAACGAATCGGATTACATAATCCAGAATTTATTCTGTTAAATAAAAATTTTTCTTGCTGCGATTAGATTGTGTTGCGGTCAACCGAGAATATGCTTCCACTTTAAATCCTTAAGATCTCATCGTCAAGAACAAAACCCCCACAATGCTCCACATCAAAATCCCCTTCCCTAACTCTACACATTTTGCTCCACTGTTTGGTGCCGAACTTATTGGGCTGATCGGTGAGTTCGTTGCGCGGGTGGAAACTGATGATTCTTGAACAGAAGACTCTGACAAAGTGTTCTCCACGATTGAGGTTGGTGGACCGCTTGTGACAGTAGTAGATGATGTGTCACTTGTTACGACCACAGTAGAGGCTGGTGTGTCGCTTGACACGATCGAGGTTAATGTGTCGGTTGACACGATCGAAGTTGGTGTATCGCTTGACACGATCGAGATTGGTGTATCGCTTGCTGCGGTCGAGGTTGGAGATCCGCTATTCACCGCAGAGTTTCTTGTTCTGTTCCTCACAACGGAAGTCGATGCTCTGTCTGGTGCAGTCGAGGACGGTTGGTCACTCACAAGCGAGGTCAACGTAGCTGTCGCGACCGAGGACGGTGAAAATGGATTTGAAAAAATAGGTCCATTAGGCTGACTGATGGATTGGGGGGAAATGAGGTTTGGGAAGTTGATTAACAGTAGAAAACATAAAAGTAATGGTAGAGTGGTGGTATGAGTGGAGAAAAGATATTGCCCAATCATTATTTATTAATGATGCTGGAATTTTGGAGGAGAGAGAGAAGAAATGAATGATGGGTTCTTGTTTTGTTGCATGGGAAAATTTCAATGTCTTATAAATATTTTCAGTGAAAGCGTAATTTCCCCTGCTCGATTGACATGCAAACAAACCCCGTCAAGACAACGATTGTTGAATGGGAGAACTGGGTACTCAATGAATTTTGATCGTTGTATCTACAGTATCTATTTTTGCAGAAAAGAAAATGCGCAATGCAAGCTAAGGGAACTCCTATGTTTAAAAATGATTTAACGATTCGATGAATCAACGATATACTGTATACTGTATTTCGAGGGTCCGCGAAAATGGATAATTTAATTATGCATTTTATCAAACATGGGATATACTGTAACTGATAATGAATTTTAAAAGATTCAAGCCTTTATACGTTCAAAATTCTAAGGTCGAGGGACCTAACTCGTTAAATGTGTTGTTTGTACGTCACCATCTCCCATTGGCCTTCACCACCAAAAATTTTTCATTGTCATCTAAGACAAGTTTCTTAAATCAATGACAAGTTACTATTATAGAATGGAATATTATACTTTTTAATCATTTATTTCTTTATTAATCAAAAAATAGATGTGGTTTTATTTTTCAATAAACTTCAATTGCAACGTGTTATCTAATTGTCCTATTTAATCCTTATTTCTTTGAAAATACAGTATATTAATAACAAATAAAAATCTCGCGTAATATCATAATATATTTTAACCCACCATCAGGTTAACATAACTTGTTTTTATTATGTATTATTAGAGATAATTGCTTTTTTAATTTTTATAATTTTTATAATTTTTTTTTATTTTTATAATTTTATAAATTTTTTTATTTTATAATTTTTATAATTTTTTTTTATTTTAATTTTTATTTAAATAAAAAAAAATTTTTTTATAAATTTCAAAATTTTTTTTTTATTTTGTAATTTTCTTTTTTTTTTAAAAAAAAAATTTACTTTATATTTTTTATTTTTATTTATAAAATATTTTTCTATACATAATATTTTTTTATATATATTTCATCTTTTTCCATCATATTTTATTTTTTATTATAATCTTAATATTATTTTTAGATTAAACTCTAAATGGTGCTATATATAATTATTTATAAGTAAAAATTAGTTTAGGTGAATACAATTCCAAATTTATGATCATTTAACCTTATACCTTATTTATAATCATTGCAAAAACTAATTTAATAAAAAATTGTCTTCTAATTAATTGAAATTGAAAATCAGAATTAATTAATATTAATCTTATTCAAAATATAAGAATTTTTTTTCATTTATTAATTCCTATTAGAATTTCTATATCAATAATATGTTGTTGACATTTCTTAATTATCAATCTAGTACCATTGCATAATCCTTCTGATAAATTAAAATTTCTTAATAATATCACAAAAATATTTTTTGAATATTAATTTATGAAAAGATATATTATTTGATATAAGAGTATTTAAAAATTCAAGAAAATAAAGACTTTAATCAATTTTATTTTTATTTTTAACTGAATCTACAGATAAAAATTTAAAAGTTTCATCAAAAAAATATTTTAATATCTATTGATTGATTTTTTCTACACCTATATTTTTTATTATAAGAATTATCTTATTTTAAGATAATTTTTACTCTTAATAATTTGAATTAATATCATGAAAAATTTATAATATCAATTTATCAAAATTTTTATAAAATTATCAAGTAATCTTATGAAATTATTGTCAATATCAAAATCTATAGATTCTCTGCCTTTATCACTCCTTAATAAGAAATCAACAAAGTTTTTTTATTTAATATCATATTGTTATTGAACTCTTATATTAATTATTAATTTCATATTTTGAATATCTTTTCAAAAAATAAAAGATTTCAAATATGTATCAACAATTTACATATAAGTATCTCAAATTACAGCAAATAAGATTTGTTTAAAATCACTTCTAAAGATAATCACCTTGCCTCAAAATAATTTATTCACATTTGTTAAATCTTTGAATGTTTTATTAATTGTTTCAAAGGCATATCTATATATCATAGAACTTTATTTCATATAATAATCTTGATAATTTTAATTAAGTTGATCAATTCAGAATTTTTTTCAATTGAAAAAATAATAGTTTTCATTAACTTTAATATAATTTTAAATCTTGAGTAAGTAGTTTTCCCATCACTTATCAACAATATAGCAATTCTTGAAAATGTTACTGCTATTGCAATTTTATTCAAATCACTTAATAATTTTATATAAATCAATATTATATTGTAAAAAAAATGGTTTTCTAGTTTCTTCAGGTCTATCAATAAAAAATATTTTGTTGAATTTCTTTATTAATTGTTTTTATAATAGTATTAAAAATTAATTTTTGATTTTTATTTAATTTATCAAAATATTATAGAATTTATTAAATTTTATTTTGATTATAATTTTATTTTTCAGCAATTAATAAATTTGGATTATTCTCAAGTAATAAACAATCAGGTACTGAAAGATTTGAAAAATTTATTAAGAATAAATTATTTTGAATAAAATGAATAAATTATTTTGAATAAAATATTTTTTAATATTTATCAAAGCTCTTATTATACTTATCTCTTAATTATCCTTTTTTTCTAATAAATCTTTAATTAAAGTAGTAACATAATTATTCCAAAAAATTTTATATTTGCATATTATCAATATATTAAGATGGAAGTAAACAAATGTCTTAATTATGATAGAATCTGATGAATTATTATATCAGAGAGGCAAATATTATATTTATTATCATTATATATTAAATCAAAATATAGATCACTTCTTTTAGAATATTAAATAAAATTGTTATAGAAATAAAATTTAATAATATTTTAAGGTAAAATTTTTTCTTAATTTTTGAATTGATAAATTAGAGATAGAAAATTATTTTTTTACTATTTCTCTTTCTTTAATACTAATTATTATCTTTTCAAATAAAATATTTGAGAAAGTCAGGATACTTTAACTTTTAAATTTCAACAATATCTGGATTATTGATACAGATTTCAAAATATTTTATTAATTTTATATGCTCATTTTTTTTTAATATCATTAATAATTCTTTAATATTCTGAAAAATCATAGAACAAATATACTGGAAGTCTTTTCATTTTATAAAATTTCTATTAAAAATTAAAATTAAATAATCTTCAAATAGCTTCAGATACAAAGATATATCTTGCATTAAGATATTTTTTAATTTTATCTTTTGAATTTACAATTGAAATCAAGACCCTATCTTAACTTTTGTAAATATACACTAGTCAAAATTATGTTATTCAGCTGTCAAATTATTGTTGAATTTGGAAAAATTTAATAATAAAAAGATTAATGAATCTTTTATACTTGCTGCCACTTAACATTAAAAATATCAGCAAAAATTTTTGACATATTATAGCAAAAAAATTTAACACAAAATCTGATAATATTGTGATAAAAAAATTTTTTTTTGCATACTATGACAAAAAAAAATTTTATATATTGTGATAAAAATTTTAATAAAAAATTGATGCTGTGACAAAAAAATTCAACAAAAAAATTATTGTAACAAAAAATTCAACAAAAGTTACAAATCTAGTATTGAAATTTGATAAATATTCGGGAAGTTAACTTTTTTTTTTTTTAAATACTAGCTCATCCTTGCATTAGGTTGGTTCCTTTATTAATTATTAAAATACATTCTAGGAACAACCGGGATTATTAGTTACTATACTGTCTAAGTATTTACAGATCAATGAATAGTACAAAGGACATCTATTTATGTCTCACCTGACCAGAATAGGGGAACTATATTACCATCTAGTGTAGAATTACTCTTAACCCTTAACAAAGTTGAGAGGAGGTGGATGTATGCTATCAAACTAATAAGCCACAAATTGTACTCCCTTATCATCAAACTGGCACTTCCTAGGGGATTCCACGGGATGGCTTGTTGCTATTCTTTTGGGGGAAACTAATATGCCAAGAACTTGTTTAAGATGCCTAGCACCATCAGTATTGGGGGTTTTTTATACAAGATCTGTAGACCTTGTTAGCGCTAAAAAGAAAAAAAAAAATTTGGAGCTGTCCTGTATCTTGTCTGGAGTGCAGTCTTGTGTCATGGAACTCCTGACACCCATCTATTGAGAAACTGTTTTATAGAACACTTGTGTTTTTGTGAGTGGTTAGGTCTGTCTTTATGCACAGTCTATGGGACAAATAGTCTGTGGGCTTGTTTACTCTTTCTTGATGGCCAATGATTTAGGAGATTGCAATGTCCTATATCCACCGATACCAGAACATGTGACTTATAGTGAATCCCAGGTTCTTATAGGGCTGAGAAAATGCATTCAGACACATGAGGAAATCAATAAGAACTTGTTTATCAATTTTGTCCAATGTGTTTCGTGTTGACCAATTAGAATCAGTGGGATTCATGCTACCCGAAATTTTAGGGTCAAACTGGGATAGGCAAAATTCTCCAAAAAGCTATGAAAAGTAGTAGCTCTAAGAGGACATACAACCATTCAAAGAGTAAAAAATGAGTCCTTTAAATGGGAGAAACCCTCTCTCAGGTACTGTTTTGTTTCTCCACTTCAACTGATAGGTGACAGGTACTTTGCTGTTGATCTTTCTTCCTTGAGGAACTTT